TATCTATGCACAATCAGCTTGTAACACTCCAAAGAGAAAAGAAAACTGGAAATCGCATCACATGACCCCTTTAATAAACAGATTATATCAACGGGCCAAGTTAAAATAGCAAAGAGAAATTTATTATTTTTAGTATTTTAATGAGTGCATATCAATGAAAATAAAACAGTGGAACAATTTTGCATGTTGACAGATCAAAAAGAGTATAGGATATTAGAGGTCGACCGATGTATCGGTTTTGCCGATTAATCGGCTGAGTGGGCAGCATTTCTCAGATGTTCAGAGAGGCCCAACAGGACAGCTTATGAAGCAAACAGGTGAAATTATGTAACTGCTTTGAGCAAATAAACATGCTGGTTGAGTGGGCTGGAAACAAACATGATCTGCACATTAAAAACTCACCACCTGACAGAAACAAGGCCCGCTACCCTGCTCATTTACATATAGTTACCAGGGTGGCTAAAACAGAACAGAAATAGTCTTGCTAGTCTCGAATTAATTAAAACAAATAAAAGCATCATTTTCAAGCAAGTTCATAAATGTTTTTTTGTTCATGAATCTGTATTATTGTTGTCATGAGTAATTATAATTAATAATAATGTTTATAAATGATGAATAGCTGTTATGGGATGACATAATTATTGTAATTTCAATAGCTTGTACTTTTACATTTTTGTATTAATTTCTTTGAAACATAAAAAATGTGTAGCCAAATATACAATTTATCATGCCTGGTGTTCATACTTCATCTTCATTTGAACGTAACTTGTATTAAAACACTTGATATACACACTTTTCCTAAACTTTCTTTTTAAACTTTCACTCCTTTCCTAAATTATTTAAAGGGGTCATAAAGATTAAAGTCTCAAATCCAAAGAGATATTCTTTATAAAAGTTCAGAGTCAGCCACACCTACCTAAAACGGCTCGTTCTAACACGCCCCAACATACCTACGTCACTATCTGGGAAGATTTGCATAACGCCGCCCAAATGTTCACGCAAAGAAAGAAGGCGCAACTTTTATTCTCGCTGTAGTATTGTTGTTGCCGCCGCCATGTCGTGAAGGCGCTGTGTGCTTCGTTTGGCCTTCCAAAAGAGGACGATGTCGCTTTGTCACGCCTGGAGCTGATCTGTGCTGCTCGCTGAGGAAATACTTCAATTTCGTGCTGTCGATCGCCAGATCGGCTTTCACGGTGGACGAAGCGGAGTCCAGCCCGGGGTCGTCACATGTGGTTGCCGCAGGCATCAAAATATGGTAAGGGACGTAACATTTCCGTCACACGCTTGAGGAATTCGGCCAATCACAATGCACTGGATAGCTGGCCAATCAGAGCACACCTCGCTTTTTCAGACCGATGAGCTTTGTAAAAATCGACGCGTTTCAGAAAGGCGGGGCATAGAGGAGAAACAATAATGTGCAGTATGTGGAAAATAATGTGTTTTTTGAACTTTAAACCGCATAAACACATTTCATTACACCAAATACACAAAATAATGTTCTTTTTAGCAGCATCATATGACCCCTTTAAAAAAAAAAAAAAGTCAGGTCTTTTATACATGATACAAAAATGAAACGATACAAGGATGATGCGCTTACGTATTGACTGTAAACAGAGAAAGATGGCTGCCATGAGAAGGATATAATTCTAGGAAGTGAAAATATTTTTCATATACTTATAATTTATACAATATCTTATTATTGTAATATACCTGCACATACAATTGTCAATTTATATATTGTTATTCCTTATTTACTTGTTCTATTTTTTTATTCTTCTTTGATTATCTGTGTTTTTGTTCTGTCGCTGTCATGAAAACAAATTCCTCGTATGTGAAAACATACATGGCAATAAAGCTCATTCTGATTCTGATCATTTATACACACACACACACACACACACACACACACATTTCAGGAGTGTTTTCAAATTTGGTTTCAGTAACCACTGAAGTCACATTACAAGTTATTCAGTGTGTGCAAAGTTGCTCAAAAGTCACTAATGGACAAGTTAACCATGGGACCTCAAGGGTTTTCTGCTCACCATCAGTGAGAAAATGACAAAACCGTACTTATAATTTTATTGTAGATCTATACATCATAACTATGACCACAAAAAAATAATGACTGCGGTTTCAAATGATAGATGCAGGAAGATGGGCCTCGCACACCTAGGTATATATATATATATGATATAATTCGCAAACTGGTTGCAACTGATCAGATATTTATATTAAAAAATTAATTAATAATCAGAATGCAAACTTTTTAGGAGGCATTTCTAATAGCTTAGTATTACATGCAGCCTCTTCATAAGGTTCATGCAACGTGGATGTTGTATAAGCCATTGCACGGGCCCTTAAAAACAGTAATGGAGGGCTTATTGGCCACCTGTTACCTAACCACGCTTAGGACTGCAAGGTTGAAGAACGTTAATTATAGTTGACCCTTGGAAAATGACACTGTCCATGCCATTTATTTCTTCCCATTTCCAAAGCCATTCAATAGCTGATAAGTTCAATTTCAATAGTATTAGCAGTAAGAGGTCATATAACCCTAATGAAGACCTCTGAGGAGTGAGCTACATTGATGCACTGTAATGTAATATTTGCACACCAATAGGTCGAAAGGTTGATGATGGTCTGTATAAAACCCAATGTTTGGCTCAGTCTGCTCCTCAAGCAAGTTATTTTTCAGTCTTTCTTATTAAAGAAATCCGGTGATCTAGAAATGCTACAATATGGCGTATATAGCACAGTGAAGTGTTCATAAACCAGAGTTTGATTATTCCGTCTACTGGAGCCTGCGTTGATACAAAGCGCAACCTATTCAATAGCTTTGCGATAATGTACGATGTTTGGCGAAATGTTCCGAGCGTGTTCGATCCACTCGGTCACTTACGTTCAGTGATCTTCTGCAATCCCAGCACATCCTCCGGGGTGATCGTTTTGTTCGCAAGCAGTTCCTCTTCTGTGGTGACGGGGACCCCGACGTCTGTCGTGTTGCAGCCCTTCTTGACTTTCATGGCCTCGGATAAATCAGGGTTCGAGTTCGCTTTGCTGCCGCGGATGCTGTGGCGGTTATTGCCGTTGCCGGTGTCTCCGCTGCTGCAACTACCGGGATTAACGCCGCCGGACTTCTTAGAGCTCGATGGGTCCTGGCTGTTGCCTGTGCTGGTACAAGAATAGCTCATTATCCGTTCCTCCTCCTCCACCCCCCTGCTCCCCCGGTCTAGCAAAGACACAAAACAGTCACCCTCCCACACCCGAAGGGCTGAGCAGGTCGCCCGCTTAGAGGTATTTAAATCCTCCTGTTCTCCGCTCGATCTGAATCTCTCTGGCGCTCCAGCTGAGGGACGTACCACTGCACGCCGGAGGGGGTCCCCTGCCGTTCAGTGGCGCACGGCGACAACAGATGATACTGTTTGACTGATAAAAAAGGCAGCTTTGAGTGCAGCGCGTTGTATTTCTAAGGAAATAGTTTTAGATAAAATCAGTCGTCGAGCTTGGATTGAACTGGTCATTCTAGCATGTAGTGTGCGCCGGATATCTGTTTCGAATTCTCCCCCGTTTGTTGTGTGGTATGATCCAAGTTGATTCGTCAATTGTGTGAACGTGCATTAATTCAACCTCAAAACAAATCTAATAAATAAAGCACAAACCCCAGCAAATACGAGACGTTGTAACGCCAATATTATTTATTGTTTAAAATAAAATAAAACTTATATAGCTTATATAGCAGTATTCAAGTTTTTTTTTTTTTTTTTCTAATTTTAATTTCTTTTAAGTCTGCTTTGGCACAATTCACGTGTCAACATTTTTTTATTCAACACTCTTCAAAATAAAGTTTCCATAAATGTTTCCCAAATAACCTTTTAATGAACAGTTTTTAAAATAGCCCCTTTTTCTTTTAAGAAAAAGAAAACTTTATAATAATTTAAAGAATCTTTTGCCACCATAAAGTACTTTTTGTACAATAAAAAGTTCTCGATGGAACCATATATGCCAATAAACAACCTTTACTGAATTTAGTGTAGCATTGAAGTTATGACAGTCCTCAAGAGGACGCCACACGACAGTACAACAAAAAAATGGCCTAACCGTTGATATAACATTTCATTCATTTACAACAGAATGAGACACTGATTTCTAAACACTATGAAGAAAAAAATAACTAAAGTAGCCAATTCAGCAAATAATACAATTATAAGGGCTTGTATTTCATGGTTTTGGTTTGCTTTAAAAGCTTTCACCAAATTATATAATAATGCTCTCTAATTAAATTTTGTGCCTGCCATCTTCGGATAATTCAAAGAACTCCCTTTTAACCAATATAGTTGTGCTTATTGGCATAATAGCCTATTTTTTTACATTATGATACAAAACTAAGATAGAATCAAACCTTTATAGCTTAAAAGACAGAACAAAAGCATAAATAAATGTCATCAGCAACATGTTTATATTACAGTAATGTTCATACTACAGAGGTGAGTTTATTAATAGCATGACTGAGAGTGTGTATGTTTGTAGAAGAGGACACACTCATTTCATCTCACAGGCCTGCTGAGCTGGCTTGTCTCTTTGTCATCACGGTGTGGCTGCTCTCATCAGCAGAAATCCACACACACACACACATGCACATACAGACATTTTTACAGACAAGAACTACATTTGACACACACACACACACACACTCAAACCGAGCTTAACAGATACACACGTCATACACATTCGACACACACACCTCCACCCTGGACAACAATGTGCTGACTGCAGTCTGTGTACGGCCATTGTTTTGCAAAGAGACCTGGGTCGAGGTTGTGAGCTGAGCATCAGAAGTCATTTCACAATGAATGCTAAAGCAGCTCAGTTCATTTCAAATCACACGGACTGAAATGTTCAGGTCTATACACTGTTAAAAATGATTTTTGAAATAAAAAAAAGATATGTTTTAGAAGAAAACTCAATTTTAGTCTTTCGGCTTCAAAATTGTGCATGAATTCAATGCCATTCCTTTGTAATTATTTGTGAAATTAAGCAGAAATTGAGTAAAAGTTGATTCAAAGTAAATCCTACACCATTTTTCCCCAGCATATATGCATCTTTCAATGTAAATGTCTACTAGTACATAGTTTTTCTAAAAACCCATGAATTGTTCCTGAATTTAATATAAGTTGCATTGGAACACAGTAGTTTTAAGACATTTTAAGTGCTGTAATGTTATATTTGTCTGTATTTAAAGTCAAGCAGTATCCGCTTCATCGCTTTGGAAAGCACACGGATTCATATTAGCATCTGCCTTGCCATGTTTTTCCATTTATGGGCCAGAAACTGCATCACTGCATTAATCAGACATCGCCTCCGTAATCTGACCAAACCCCAGAAAACATGTAAGCAGAGGCTTGAAGTTTGCACTCAGATGAACTGGAGACTAAAAACTGGAAATATACAGTAAATATGCATTATTGTTTAGATTACTGTCATTTCATCGCAGGTATCAACAAACCTTGTATGTTGAGAAAACCACATATAGAAAGGAAATATATTGCAAAGCTGTTTTAAATGTAACTATCTCCGTAAAGAGTCTGTGAAATTCAAAATATTGTCGCAAAGATGTCTTCAATTCAAATTCGAAAGGCCTGAAATGAAAATCTCGAGTTATAGTAAATGGCCTTTTATGTAATCCACATAAATATGACCTAAAATCATGCAGCTCCATGGCTGCTCATTGGTGGAGATCACTTCATTGTAAAGAGTATGCGGAGGAAAGAAAGGCCTACAGCTCAGGTCAGAAACAAAAGGCATCCAAAGCAAAATGCTGACAGCAGCCGGGGTCCGTGAGTCAGGGAGCCCCAATGAAGCGGCATCTGTATAAATAGCCCCACAGATGCCTGAGCAGGAGACCGCGTGGTGGATTCCCCTCAACGCATACAGCTCATTCTATTGGGTAAGTCTGGTAAACCCTGTACCTCTGCCAACTTTAAACCAGATTGTGATTAAACAAGCTTGGAACACCATGGTGAGCATTAAATATACAGAATGATAAATCAAACAATGATCCACTGATACAATCAGACATGCTAATTATAATTATGATAGAGGAGATACTTATGATTCAACAAGGTATTTGAACAAGACTGTTTTCATTAGCCGACCTGATGTGCATTAGACAGTAATATAAACCACCTGGTTTAATTGATCCAACAGTGTTCAGGCTTGTCGCACAAAGAATGCTACATGTCATTATACTTGACAACACTTGTACTGTTTTTTTTTGTGTGTGTGTGAAAGTAGAAATGTATGAAAACTGATCATCATGTATAGAATTTTATAGATGTTAAACAATGTTTGTGGTGCAAACTCTTCTGACATGATTCTTTGCATGCAGGTCAGTCAGCGCTGAGATATCTGAAACAATGGCTCTGACAAACCCTATGTCAATGCCCATGGGACCATGGAAGGTGAAGAGATTTTGTTTATTTTATTTTTTTAGAAGAAAAAATGTGTATTATTTTTGTTTTGTTTTATTTTATTTTATTTTAAATAGATAATTTAATTAAATTTTTTGTCACTTATGCCCACCAAGGCTGCATTTATTTATTCCCAAAAAAAAAGATAAAATAATATGTTTATTCAGCAAGGATGCAGTTTTTCTGTTCATCAAACAATGTATCTCAGTTTCCACAAAAATATTCAGAAGAAAAATATTTGTATTATTATTATTAATATTAATATTTGAGTGCCAATAATAATTAAGCATCAAATCAGCATATTAGAATGATTTCTGAAGGATCATGTGACACTAAAGACTGGAGTAATAGCTACCGAAAATTCAGCTTTGTCATCACAGGAATAAATTATATCCTGAAATATATTCAGATAGAAAACATTTTTTCAAATGGTAATAATATTTCACAATATTACTATTTTACTGTATTTTTGATCAAATAAATGCAGCCTTGGTGAGCATAAGAAATGCTTCCAAAAAAAAAAAAAACATTTAAAAAATCTTAATTATTCCTAAATTTGACTGTTGACGTATGAATTTATTTTAAAGTTGTTTTTTTTTCAACATAAATTACGGACAACACGAGGGTGAGTAATTAATGACAGAATTTTCATTTTTGGGTGAACTAACCCTTTAAATCATTTAAAACCATTTTTAATGCAATTTGGAACAATCTACATGGGTATCTAATTAAATCATCACTAACAACGTGTTGAACTAAAGATATATGTGTCTCTTTTTCAGATTACCGTTTATGATCAGGAGCATTTCCAGGGCAGGCGTTGTGAATTCACCGCTTGCTGCCAGAACATCATGGAGTACGGAATGGAGACTGTCCGCTCCCTGAAGGTGGAGTGTGGCGTGTGAGTAAAAGCAAGCATCTTCAATTAACTAGAGTAAATCTCTTTTCCTCTTTCCAGCCCTGTCTCCTAATCGTTTCTTCTGACTCTAGCTGGGTAGGTTTTGAGCACTCTACCTTCAATGGCCAGCAGTTCATCCTGGAGAAGGGAGATTACCCTTGCTGGGAGGCCTGGAGTGGCAACAATGCCTATCGCATTGAGAGGATGATGTCCTTCCGCCCCATCTATTCTGCTGTGAGTGAGACCATCTGCAGCAGGGACACACAATACACCCACCAGCAGACTCTCCGATCATCACTATTTCTCAACACATTTACATTTTTTGACATAGTTGTAGATACATGGCATTAAATTGAATTGAGAATAAAGTGAATTTGAATTGAACTAGCAAATAAATTGCACAAAGCATAATTGAAATAGAATTAATAGAAATATAAGCCTAAATTGTAAAAAAGAAAAAAGATAAGTAAATCATAATAACGTACAAATGTTAATATACTAATAATCAACGTTTGAAAAGCTATGTTTATTTATTTATTTATTTACATACTTACTTTTTTTACTTACACACGTTTCATACACCAGGGGCATAATAAGAAATATTAGAATAATAAATAATAAAATATAAATTAATATAAAATATTAATAATCAATATCTGAAAAGCTACCTTTATTTATTTATTTACATAATTTGTATATGTATGCTATCATACACAAAGGGGCACAATGAGATATATTAGAAAAATAAGTCTAAAATATTTGTTACAAAGCAATAAATAATAAAATATAAATCTAATTTATTTATTTTTTAAATTATGTATATCATTTACATAAGTTATCATACAAACAAAGGGTATAATCAAAACATTAGAAATATTGATCTAAAATATTTATTTAAAATGTAATTTATAATTTTTTTTATATGATATATGATTTATATAAGATATAATTATATAAGATAGATTTTGATTTAATCATTTAAATTATTTAATTATA